CATAGAAATGATGTGGACGCATTGGAAAGGGTCCAGTGGAGGGCAACCAAAATGATTAGGGGGCTGGAGCACATGACCTATGAGAAGAGGCTGAAGGAATTGGGTCTATTTAGTCTGCAGAAGGGAAGAGTGAGGGGGGATTTGATAGCAGCCTTCAGCTTCCTTAAGGGAGGTTCCAAACAGGCTGGAGAAAGACTGTTCACAGTAGCGATGGAGGGCAGAACAAGGAACAATGGTCTCAGGTTGCGGTGGGAGAGGCCCAGGTTGGATATTAGGAAAAACTATTTCACTAGGCAAGAGTATGAGAAGAATGGTGGACGTGTTGTGATCGGCGCAATCTTAACAATAGCTGAAGACCGATCAATCCAGGTGATCCAGGTGATTTCACTAGGAGGGTGGTAAAGCCCTGGATTGGGTTACCTAGGGAAGTAGTGGAGTCTCCATCCCTAGAGGTGTTTAAATGTCGGCTTGACAAAGCCCTGGCTGGGTTGATTTAGTTGGGATTGGTCCTTCCTAGGGCAGGGGGCTGGACTTGATGACCTCCTGAGGTCTCTTCCAGCTCTATGGTTCTATGAGTCTAACTGCACCTGCTGTGCTAATGCTTACACTGCAGCTGTTCAGGAAATGGGTGTGTTCTCCTCCTCCAGAAAACTTCAATGCAAGCACACGTTTGTTCCTTACTTTTCGGATTTCCATTGGAAACCTGAAAACCAAACGTATTTTACACCTTTTTTTTGTTTGTTTTCAGTGACTGGAAAATTCAGAGAGGAAACCATGTTACTCGGTAGCTTTAAAAACAACAAGTAGTCCAGCGTATCTGAGGAAGTGGGTTTTGCCCACAAAAGCTCATGATACTATATGTATTTTTGTTAGTCTCTGAGCTGCCATGGGACTACTCATTGTTGGAAAATTTCAGCTTGCTGAGCACAAATTTATGCTTTTACTAAACACTTTCACCTGAACACTTCCCCAGAATCATTGTCTTGAAATTTCCGTTTTGACACAACAGCCGTTTTCATTTAAAAAAGCAAACTTTAATGGACACATTTCAGCCATAGGGAGGGAGAAAAGGGGAATTCATCTGTGTGCAGAGGGCCAGCATGAGCTATTTGAGCTACCAGTCAGGACCTAGGTGGTGTGTAGGCATTGTATGAACTTCGGCATAGGGATGAATGTTGCCCATTATGTTGTGCGTAATGAAGCTGGAGTGTGTGGACCAGCAATGAAAATATCTTAAGATTTCTTACAGACACTGTCCTATTACAACCAGGTCCCCGCCAGCTCTTTCAATAGCTTCCTGCTGGCTTTTGCCTCAGTTCTGGTGCACCTCTTGACATTCGCCTCTGATGTGGACACTGCAAAGTGCCATCTCCACATTATTCTACTCTGTTCAGCACACCTTTGAGGCGGTAAACTCAGTGGGGCACTCACGTGGCACTGTCCACACCAGTAGCGCTGTAACGGGCACCACAAGAACTCTGCCCCACTTCAGTTTTAGGGTTCTGCAGAGGGGTGTAAACTTCATCCTACCCAAATGACACTAGCTGAGGCTGACTGCTTCTCTGCTGCCGTTTTCCTCTGCAGTACTATCTCTCCGATGCCGACTTCCAGGATATCTTTGGGAAATCCAAGGATGAGTTCTACCAGATGCCCCGATGGAAGCAGCAGAACGAGAAGAAACAGCATGGACTGTTTTAAAACAGAGACTGTCCTGCCCCCTGCTGGTTGTGGAACCACATCCCGATCTCAGTAGCCACAGGAGGGGAATGCAGATACTTGTCAAAGAAACCAGTGCAAAAACCAAAACCCACCCGCCCAAACCAAGCCAAGTGCAGCTACAGCCTCTAGGGTCAGACAGGGTTCATGGAACTGCTCTTCCTTCCTTCCCCCCTTGCAATTAGTGGGATGTAGGGAGCCATCACCCGAAGATTTGACTCAAGGCTTTGATATTTTCTTCTCAGTTTTGTACCATTTTTGCCAGGCGCTGCAAGGAGGTGTCAGGGCAGCATTAGTGCATCGCACACCGTGTGGTAGTGGCCAAATTTTCCACATCAATGGAAGACAAATACTGCATGGGAGGCCGCTCAGTGGCCATGGGGGTGAGATGAGGCAGGACAAATACAAAGACGTGGTGGGAACTGGTGCGGCCGAAGTCTAGTAAATCCTTGCAGACGGAGAACTTCAAGCTCCGATAATTGGCTCTCCCCCAGTGAGGAATAAGGATGTTAAATGGTCATAACCTGAGATGGTAAAAATCCATCAGAACTTGGCTCCAAAATAACATTTGTAATTTATTAAATGAATTATTTGAAAGGAAAGCAGAGACATAGGGCTGGGGGGGGAGACGGGCTCTCAATCTCCAGAGCTGAAGTGGGCTGTGATGTTTACAGTCAAAGCTGTGTGCTGAGTCCCTGTTCTGTACAGAGCCCCAGTGAGGAGATGCATGGACAGAAGGGTCTGCCCATGTGCCTCTGATTGCAGGCTCGTTAGGGAAGCTATTAGCTTTGCACTGGTGTGACCAGGAGCAGAAAGTGGGCCTTAGATGCTTTGATCTCCACCTGGCTTCTCTGTCATGCTGCCACCACATGCTGCACTGGATACGAAGAGCACACTCCATATCACGTTTTGAATTTTGATTTATGGGCACATGGTGATTTTGATTTCATGGATCCAGCTGTAAAAAAAAAAAAAAAAAAAAAATCAGTGCAAAAATGACTACAATTTCAGCTTTGTTCCAGTCAAACCCAAGCAGTGATTTCACATAAACAACCAACAGGCATGCGTAAAGGATGCTCTTAATAAAAATGCAAACTACGGGCTCCTTTCAGTAGCGTAAACTCCACCGATCTGAGAGAGTTTCTGTTGTAAGACTGGTTGGAATATCAGCCCTGGCACTGGAAAACTTCTATCTGTCCCCGGAGCAGGTATAGCAGAGGCTATAAAAGTACAAGCTCCCTCCAATGCTCTGTCAATATACTTTAAGGCTGATATAAAGGGCCATCTCTAGAAGCAAGAGGAGGTATTTCCTTTCATTTCATGCCCATTCAGTAATGCCTGATGTGCGACAGGCAGTGTTCCCAGAAAACATTTTGTTATGTGTCGCGAGGCAGGTGCGGATGTGCACCACCAGTAGTAACATGCTGCCGGCTGAGAGAGTCCTGCGAATCAGCTGGGCAGCATTTGAATCAGCTGGGCGGCATTCAAATGAATCTCTTCTGGGTGGCTGCACGAGGGCTCAGTTTCCAGGGGACACTGGTACCAGGGTTCCTGGAATGCAAGTGAACTGTGGGAACATTTCGCGTTCTGTCCCCCACCACTAGCCTGGGCGCCTACCTCTCACACTGAGATGCCATAACAAGCCACCAACCTCTGGCAGACGTCCACAGGCAAGGATACACCCTACTGAGTTACATGAATGCGTCTCCCTGTCACTCATGAACTAAGGATAGGCAGGCTTCCGCCAATTTTCCCAGCCTTGCATCCCAGAGCTGTACGTCCTTGCCCAGTTGGTCCCCCTCCCTCAATGTGGAGAAGGGTCCACCCTAGCCTTTGGAAACTGAGCTGAGCACTTCAACAAAAAACACACTGTTTTAGAGAAAATATAAAATACATTTAGTCACTATAGGGAGAGAGATTTTTTAAGGGATTGTAAGTAGGCAGCATAGCTATCTAGGTTTGGTTACCTAAAGAAACAAAAGGAAATTTGCTGTCTGAGTTTCATAAGCTAAACAGGAGTTGAATCAAGACCGTGCCTCCCCCGACAGATGGTGCACACCGGTCATAGAACTTCACTGCACAGGCTGGAACTCTCCTCTAGGCCAGGAACACCCTTCCCAGGTCAAAGTCTTTATGCTCAGGTGTGTTTCCAAGTGTGATCCCGTTGGCAGGAAGCCATAGTCCAGAGACTGGAGCAGTAGAGACGGCGGAACAGAAAAGAGGTAAAATAGCGCTGTTCCCAGGGCCTTTTGAAACTTCTGCCCTGTGGAGGGAATCCTGCTCTTCTGACTATGGAAAAGTACAGTAACAAGATGGTGTCCAGTCATGTCAGCAAATCACCTGTCCATGCGTAATTCAGGTTGTTACAGGTAGAGCTATTGTCCACATGCTAGTCAATGTTCACAGGAAAGTCCATTCAGTGTAGATGGGTGTCTCCCATAGTCCGGTGTCAGGTGAGTGTTTCTTGATGAGCTGTTCAACTTGAATAGTACCTTGTATGTGAGCTGGCTAAATACAAGGGTGAGTGTTACCCCAGGATCAAACATTCAAAATCAGATATAAAGTCATTATCCATAACTTCAAATACAAACATTCAGGCATACAAATAGTATAATCATAACCAGCAAATCATAACCTCTTCATAGACACCTTCCATACCACATTTGGTACAAGATTCATTGCAAATATATCACACTGTTTGCAACAGTGTCTGGTCATATTTTAATCAGCTACCATCACAGTGTGAATCGCCCCTGTACAGGTAGGCATGTCTAAACTCACATCCAGGTTCATGGTTTGTCATCCAAATCAGCAGCACCAAGAGCTGAGCTCTAAAGGCCAGCTTTGCAAAGATATTTAGGCATCTAAAAATACAAATAGGTATCTAGCAGGTCTTATGAACATAACCTGAGTTTGGGACCCAACTTCCATTGACTTTCAGTCTGGTCCTAAAGGCCCGGGAGTGGGGAGTGGAACTTGATCAGTGGGCCAAGCAGATTAAGAGTAGGTGGAAGAGCATAGAAAACTCCCTAGAAAAATCTATTGAAGGAGCAAGGGGAGAGCCAATTTAAGCAAGCAGCAAATAAGGTGCAACATCAGCTGGGCAATGACAAAATGGCAATAAGGATGTGGGGGCAGTTACTAATGCATGAAAAAGGAAGCAGGTGCCACAAAGGCACAAGTCACCCACCTGTATAATCCCATTGCTATTGCATGGGCATCTCTGGTTTGAACACCACATGTGACCATCTATCAGCTTTACCTGGCATTTCTCAGGTCCTTCAGGGTAGGGGGCTGGCAGGGTGAGGGGTGCAGGAGTCAGGGCAGGAGCTTGGAGATGTGGGGAGGCGCAGGGCATGAGGTTGTGGGGGAGGGGTGCAGGAATCTGGGTTGCGGGTTGAGGATGGTGGAGGGGTGCAGGAGCCAGGGTTGGGGGATGAGGAGGGGCTCAGGGTAGAGGGTGAGGAGCACAGGGGAGGGGGTGCCCTGGGGCATGGGAGGCCACACACCCCACCTGCCAGCTTCTCCCTGCGGTCGGGGGGAGCTCTGCATCCTGCCCACCGGCTTCTCCCCAGGCCTGAGGGACACACCCTGATAGGGGTTTGCCCTGGGGGTGGGCAGTGCACCCTGGACACTGGCTTCACCCCAAGGTTGGTGCAGGAGGCTGCCATCTTCATCCTGGGGCCAGGTTGGGGCCAGGGGTAGCCATGCATCCCTACTGCCATGTTTGCCCTTTGCCCGGCATAGTAATGGAGAAGGGGGGACCTCACTGGCAGCATGCCCTGGGTTTGGGCTAGGGCGGGGGTTCACACAGTGACCAGCAGCTGCTCCCTGGGGCAGGCCTGGTTGGTGGGTGCTGCCAGCTAGCAGCTGCTCACTTGCTGCTCCCTGTTGGTCATTCTTGTCCCCAGTGCTCGTTGCCCCCCTGTGGTCAAGGGTGAGTGTAACCGTCCCTTCTCTCACACCCCTCCCTTTCGGTTCCATATAAAACAAATCGCATTCCAGGCACATCCCATTGTCCTGGCACAACCAGCCCCCGGCCTTGCTTTAAGTTATGATAAGAGGAAGCTGCAGCGCACATTTTTTGGTCCTACCTCTTACCATTTAGGAGGAGTACTTGAACAAAGGACTCACGGACAGCCAGACGCACGTTTCTAAAACATATAGCCAGATCAGCATACGTCTTCCCTGGAAAGTGATCAGATGGCTATGCCCAACTGTAGTCACCTCCTAGACACATCACCTTTGTGTGACTTGCCCTTCGCATCACCAGAATTAATCACTTTGCTATTGCGGCTTGACAGAGTGCCCTGAATCTTGCCTAAAAGCTTTGCCTGTGGGCGTTCATTACATAATCTGGTTGCTCCAAGGGAGAGAGACCTGCACTAAGATCTGGGAGAGTACTGTCGGTACTCTTCACTCTTGCGGTTGCGAAGCACAGGGAAATCCCAAGGCGTATCACTGCTGTCAAAAGCTGGGAGATTTTGCAAGCAATAAATCAATGAGACAGTCTAGCCCACGCAAAGCTAGTGCCCTCATTTCCTGCATGCAGCGAGGGGCTTAACCAGCGGAATGGTGTTCATAAACGCGGTTGTTCATCAATGCTGCCAGCTAGCCTGTTAGAACACTGCCCAGTCGTGTCCGAGGTAGGGTTCCGCTTTCCTGCCACCCGCCCAGGGAGATTGATCTGATGTTCACATGGTGCTTGTCACCACAAAGGATCAAGCCAGCTTCACAAAACACCCCGCAACTTGACCAGCGTTTACTTCTCTCACTGCCAGGCTGAAATGCAGCAGCTGTTGACCCATGCCTGGTGACACTACTACACAGCTTGAGGGGAGGGATGGTAGAGCCCTGCCACCAAGTGAAATTACAAGGGAAATGGAAGGAGGCAGAATGAATGCCTCCCCGCGCCCCACCCTACTGGAAAGGGGTCAGAACTAGCGATGTTGAGTAGCGATTAATTTGTTCCGCCTTTGAAATGTACAACAGCCCCTGCAAGAGTTCCTGTTCATTTCAAGGCAGAAGTGCCACATGGGGTACGTCTAGACTACAGGGTTTTGTCGACAGAAGTTTTGTCGACAGATACTGTCGACAAAGCTTCTGTCGACAAAGAGCGTCTAGACTACATTCAGTTCTGTCGACAAACCAAGCTGCTTTGTCCTTATTCCTACTTTGAATAAGGCACTTTGAAAAGGGCACTTTTTCCGGAGGATCGGGGCCAGTGTAGACGCTCTTTTCCGGCTTTTTTAAAAGCCGGAAAAAAGAGGCGGACATTTTTATTTAAATGCCGCGGGGGATATTTAAATCCCCCGCGCATTTGTTTTGTCGACAAAAGTGGACTTTTGTCGACAAAACCCTGTAGTCTAGACACACCCATGGAGGCTGGGGATGACTCTGGGCTCCATGCGACGCTGACGCTTCGAAATGCTGCACAGAGCTTGGGGTCAGCTGGGGAATGATCCCAGGTTCTACCTGGCATTTCAAAGTGGCAACGCTACTTGGAGCCCAGAATCAGCTGGGGATTCTCCAGCTGACCCCAGGTTCTGTGCGGCCCTGCTGCTTTGAAATCCTGGGTGGAGCCAGGGATTAAAGGTCTAGAGAACATGACCTATGAAGCCAGGCTTCATGAACTGGGCTTGTTTAGTTTGGAAAAAAGAAGATTAAGGGGGGACATGATAGCGGTTTTCAAATATCTAAAAGGGTGTCACAAGGAGGAAGGAGAAAATTTGTTCCTCTTGGTTTCTGAAGACAGGACAAGGAGTAATGGGCTTAAAGTGCAGCAAGGGAGGTTTAGATTGGACATTAGGAAAAAATTCCTAACTGTCAGGGTGGTCAAATATTGGAATAAATTGCCAAGGGAGGTGGTGGAATCTCCCTCTCTGGAGATATTTAAGAACAGGTTAGATAGACATCTGTCAGGGATGGTGTAGACGGAGCTTGGTCCTGCCTTGAGGGCGGGGGGCTGGACTCGATGACCTCTCGAGGTCCCTTCCAGTCCTATGATTCTATGATCTGCTGGGGACTTCTCCCCCTTTCCCCCATTGCTGCCTTTATCTGATAGAGGCAGCAAGGTCGGGGAAGTGCCTAGTCGACTAGTCCTTTACATCCCTAGTCAGGACCT